TGTCCTAATTTCTTTAGAATATATAGATTATATAGGATTTAGTTCTTGTATTTACGTGGTATATGAAGTTTTATTAAATTACTCGTTGGAAAATTATAAATGATGTTCATGTACCATAAAATAAATTTAGGATGCATTAGTATAAATTTTTAATGTGTTTATATATTTTAAACGACACTAAAGAGGCTAAAATTAAGTACATATAGCATTTATCGGAGAACTTTGATTTTTGTAAGGGCTAACCCACAAATTTAAAAATAAATTAGAAAATATGGAATCTTTGTATTTATACTTAGCTGCATTCAACACTGACATATGATGAATATTAAAGAGGTTTCATAACTTAGTTGTCCAAATTTCTTTAGAAAATTAAAAATTTTATAGGGTTTAGTTCATTGATTTTGGGGGTATATGGAGTTTTATTAAATTCTTTGAATGAAAATTAAGACTGATGCCCATATACCATGAACATAAATTTAGTACATTAATATAAATTTTGAATATGGTTAGGTATTTTTAAACAAAACTAAAGAGGCCTATATATAACATTTATAGGAAAACTCAATCTTTTGTAGGGGTTAACCCACATATTTCAAGATAATTATAAAATATCACATTTCTCTTTTAATGAATTGATGCATCATGCGCTGACATAGTATGGAGAATAAAGAGGGTTCAGAGCTTACGTGTTACTATTTCTCCATAAAATAGAGGTTTTATAGGGGTTAATCTACTTATTAGGTGGTATATGAAATTTAAATAAATTACTCCTTGGAAAATTAAAAATTATGCCATGTACCATGAAAATAAGTTTAGCATACATATATATAAATTTGGAGTGTGTTTAGATATTTTTAAACAACACTAAAGAGGTTAAATAGTATAAATAGTAATTATCGAAAGATTCAACTTTTTCATAGGGGTTAACTCACATATTTCAAGATAAATTAGAAAATATGGAATTTTTGTTTTAATGCATATATGCATCATGGACTGGCATAGTATGAAGAGTAAATATGTTTGAGACCTTAGGTGTTACCAATTCTCTAAAAAATTAAGATTTTATAGACGTTAGTACACTAATTAGATCGTATATGAAGTTTAAAAAGATTATTTGTTGGAAAAATAGAAATAATGTTCATGTACCATGAAAATATGTTTAGCATACATTAATATGTATTAAAGTGTGGTTAGTTATTTTTAAAAAAATAATAATGAGGCTAAACTTTAGTATATATATATATCATTTATTGGAAAAACCTCGATCTTTTCGGAAGATAAATTAGAATATATGGTATTTTTAATGCATAAATTCATCGTACAGTGACATGTGATGAAAATTAAATATGTATCAGACCATATTTTTCCATGTTTCCATAGAAATTACATATGATATAAGGGTTAGTCCACATAATTAGGTGGAATATGAAGTTTTACTAAACTACTCATTAAAATATTAGAAATGATGCTGACAAAAAAAAAATATTAGAAATGATGGATATGTATCATGAAAATAAGTTTAACATACATTAATAAAATGCATAATGTGATTAGGTATTTTTAATCAACATGAAATAGCAAAAACTTCAGTATATATTATTTATCAGTAAACTCGTTCTTTTTATTGAAGTTAACCCACAGATTTCAAGATAAGTTAGAAAATACGTTATTTTTTTATGCATAGATGCATCCAGCACAGATATAGGATAAAGATTAAGAATGTCTGACACCTTTGTTGTCCCAATTTCTCTAGAACATATAGATTTCATAGGGTTTAGTTCTTTGATTTACGTGGTATATGAAGTTTTATTAAAATACTCTTTGGAAATTATAAATGATGTCCATATACGATGAAAATAAATTAAGATACATTAGTATGAATTTTCAACGTGATTAGATATTTTAAACGACACTAAAGAGAGCTAAACTTAAGTACAAATAGCATTTGTCGAAAAACTTTGATCTTTTTGTATTGGCTAACCCACATATTTAAAAATAAATTAGAAAATGTGTAATTATTGTATTCATGCATAGCTGCATCCAACACTAATATATGATGGATATTAAAGAGTTTTGATACCTTAGATATAGGGTTTAGTTCATTAATTTTGGTGGTATATGAAGTTTTATTAAATTCCTCGGTTGAAAATAAGTTTAGTACATGTGCTTAGTTCATTGATTTTGGGGCTATATGGAGTTTTATTAAATTCTTTGAATGAAAATTAAGACTGAAATGTGCATAATTTCATCATTCAGTTTTATTATATTTCCATTTTTCTCCATAAATTATAGATTTTATAAGGGTTAGTCCACTGAATTGGGTGAAATATGAAGTTTTATTAAATTACACATTAAAATATTAGAAACGATGCCCATGTTCCCTAAAAATAAGTTTAACATATATTAATATAAACTTATAATTTGTTTAGGTATTATTTTATTCAACATGAAAAAGCTTAAACTTCAGTAAATATCATTTTCGAAAAACTCGGTCTTTTTGTAGGGGTAACCGCACAAATTTGAAGATAAATTATAAAATATGTTACTTTTCTTTTAATGTATAGATTCATCTAGCACATGTATATGATGAATATCAAAGATGTCTGACACCTTTGTTGTCCAACTTTCTATAGAATATAGAGATTTCATAGGTTTAGTTATTTTACTTTACATGGTATATAAAGTTTTATTAACTTGCTTGTTGGAAAATTATAACTATTTTCCATGTACGATGAAAATAAATTTAGAATACATTAGTATAAATTTTTAATGTGGTTAGATATTTTAAACAACACTAAAAATGCTAACTTAAATACAACTAGCATATATCAGAAAACTTGATCTTTCATAGGGATTAATGTATAGATTTCAAGATAAATTAGAAAAATATGGAATTTTTCTATTTGTGCATAGCTGCATCCAGCACTAATATATGATGAATATCAAAGAGGTTTGATCCTTTGGTTGTCCAAATTTCTCTAGAAAATAGAGATTTTATAGCTGCATGTACCACTGATATAGGAAAGGTATAATTTTATAAAAGATACAAATAATAAAGAAAAAAAATACATGTGTACTTTACCAAAAAAACAAAACATGGTAGTGGAGAAGATCTCATAACGTTGTCATATAATCATATTTTGACTATACATATATTTTTACATTGCTTCAAATAAATTATGAATGTCATACTCATCATTATAATTTACTTTTATTAGTTTAGTAAATGATTAGGTATATATATGTTCTTTTCTTTAAATTAGTTTTCAAATATATTAAATTGCATTATAATTTCAAATAACTTACATAATAATAATAATAAGATATATATATATATATACATATATATATATTAGTATTGGCATATTAAATTGAATTATAATCCGAAATTGTAAAGTATCTATAAATGAATATAAACACATGTAATTTATATTGTACATATATTACAAAGATTTCGTTGAAAAAAATATAGTATTTTTTATTAAAAAAATAAGTTATACGTATTGTATGTTTATTTTTATTAAATGAATTTCGTGGGATATCGCACGGATTCCTTATCTTATAATTAGTATTAATGTGATTATTAATAAGATACAAAGCTGAATAAAATACTTGAGATTGTCAATGACAGTTGATCAAGATTCAAGAAGAAGACAGACACGTTGAAAAGGTTGAGTTAAACTATGCCCTTTTACAACAACAACAAAAAAGAAAACTTTGAGTTAAACTTATACATCTACTATAGATTTCCGAAACTTCACTTACGTGAAAATATATATTTTTATATATAGTAAGTACTACGACGTGCTTTGTTTTCTCCAGACTCTCTTTCTTTTTCTCCTTCTTCGTCGCTTTAACTTTTACCATCCAAAACTCCATCCCACAAAAAAAACAGTCTAGATCTAACTAAATTTTCAAATTCGAAGCACCATTTCCTTTTTCTCCTACTCAGCACATTTCAGAATCGCCAGGTTATTTCATTCCTCTTTTCGTTTTTTTTTGTTTGGTTCATTGTTGAGAGAGTCATTTCATCACCAACAACATAATCAATTTTTTAGGTTTTTGTTTTATTTAATTTTGTGTACATACGTTCTTACGAAAATGCATCGGCAATATGCAATCATTTATTTGCTTTCATTTCAACACAGGGTTCTGAATTCATATCGAGAAAAAATTAGGGTTCTGATTACGAACTGTTAAAAGCAATATTATTAGGTGTTTCTGATGCTTTTGTCAATAATACAAAAATACTCGTTTCTTTTTCATCAACTTTCCACAAAGTATAAAATACTTTGTACTCTGGTAACAGATATTTCTTCTCCTCTCTTTTACTTCATATTATTATTTTTTTCATGACTGTTGGTTCATTTGAGGAGGATTTTCAAGGGCTCCCAACACATTTTTTCTAAGTGTAACTGTTTGATTAGGATCAACAAAAACCAGTGGTGTTTTCTTTCTAGCCCACGATGTCCAACAGAGTGTAAGTGTAGTCGAATTCCATTCAGCTGAAAAACCAACGCTCTGTGGCCAGACCACTAGCCTTTGAATGCTATTTAGGCAGAAGTTTATCGGTGGAGAAATTAGGTAAGTTAGATTTAATGGGCTAGATGATGTTTTGGTTACATAGAACAATTAATTTTGATTTTATCAGTATGTGTGGTTTTAGAAAATTTAAAACCAAAATTCATTTTCTAGATATGTTAGAATATATGTTATAGAGAATAATAAAGGAATCACAAAAAAAAAGTGGAAATCTACTATAGATCAAGAACTCACCAGAAGTCCTTCTGCATGGTCAATATTTTTTTTTTTTAATTCATGATATTCTCTCATATAAAATTTTGTATATATTCCCTTGCATATGCGAAAGGTTTTTAAATGAATTTGAATCGACTTCCAAAGGTTATATGAATAACATGTCAAGTCAAGAGATTTATTATTTTGTTTAAATTATAACAACATCGCTTAACATTTTTGTTATAGGGGAATTTTTGTTTTTAATGGAAGAGAGATCAAAATGTTTGCAAATAGAAGTAGAAGAGGAGGTCCCAACTTTACTGAGAAAAGCCACAACAGAAGAAACGGCTGGCTCTGACAGTCACAAAGAGAATCGTCCTCCTCGTCCTCGCTACATCAGTCGTTTTCATCCTGCTCATGCCTCCACCTCTAATTTGGTATATTATTTTATTTTTGTGTATTATTGCCTTCCACACTCGCAAACATTAGGTTAAAAAATATTGTATAGCTAAGTAGTCCAACCAGATCATGATATAAATATTAATGGATAGAATGGTCTAGAAGCTCATCAAAGCTACAATGTGGATCTCAAAGAGACTACACCAGGGATGACGATCAATCATCAAAGGAAGACATCACTTCCAGTGCCAACCTCACCAAGTGATCTCATGATCGCTCATCCTACATCTTTATCTTCCAATAACAGCGGTGGGTCAGCTGGAAAATCCGTTAAGTTCCTCTCTCAGCCCGTGACCAAAGTCCCATCCCTCTACATAGAAACGAGCAAAGATAGTGATGATGATAGTCTTCGCTATGATAATCATGAACATCATCATCAGCATCAGCATCAACATCATCATCAGCAACATAACCAGAGCGGCCAACTTCAAAATCAAAAGCATGCGTCGCATAAGCTTAAGGATCAAAGGTACAACTCATTCAAGACTTGGTCAGGGAAACTCGAGAGACAATTCACAAGAAAACCTAATTCTATACCGGAGACACCACACCGGGCTAAGGAACATTTAAATACTAATGAAGCCATGCCTGTGGACCGATACTTTGCTGCCTTAGAAGGTCCTGAACTGGAGACTCTCCGGGTACTTTACCTACACTTGTTTTTATCACATCTATACTATTAAAGCTGAAGTACAAAAATGAAGTGTTTGGAAACATGAATAAGAAAATTTTAAAAATTTGATTGGAAACATGGATAACATATAAACTTAATGGTTTATTTATTAAATTAAAGATTATTGCGGCCCAAAATATCATTATTATTGTTTTTGGGTTTTCTATCATTGATATTACTTTATTTCTGAAAATTATTTATATATACATGTATTCATGTTTTAAATTTATTTAAAATAAATCAAGAATAATATATATTTTATTTATATAATTTATATTGACTATTGTTATAAGTTTTTAACAGTGATATACTAGCTTTCCAATTCTTCATTAAAAAATTAACTTCAAAAATTTAACTAAATTATTTAGTGTATATAATTTTACACCAAATTTAACCCAAAAAAAACTTTATAAATTATTATTAAAATGTTTACGGGTCACAACATTTTACTGACGCCCCTGTTACACAATACAGTGATGAAATACGATGTTTAAACAGTATACTATTACTTAGTAAAATTGGAAGCATTAAATTGTAATTTTTAAAATGTTTATATATACCATAGAAACAAATACCCGCCCAGTCGGGCGGGTTATGATCTAGTTTACACTTATGAAGTTCGCTTCAATCATATAGCTTAACATATGACTAACTATGCGGAATTATAGAGCCTGAACAATGAATGAACTAAGTAATATTGATTCTAGAAGTGACTTAAATCTGAGTGTATCAGTACAATATAACTTTAGGATTATGAATAATAATCACTTTTAGTAGATAAGAAATTTTTTTTTCTTGTTGTCAGGAAAAAAAAAAAAAAAAAATTTTAAACGGAAAAAAATTATATCATATGTTAAGTATGTATAAATACAGGTGTGGATGATTGTAAATTATTAATTCACATAAACAATTTAGAAACCCTAAAACCGATATTTGACACAATTGTGTTTTCTCTCTAAATGTTCTTATTTTCTTTGTTTTTGATTCGCTTTTCTTCATATATAAACCTATCTAACTATCATTTCTTATTTTCCGGAAGTTATAGTCTCAAGAAGAGATTGTTCTACCCAGTGAACAAACATGGCCATTTCTTCTCCGCTTCCCAATATCCACCTTCGGTGTGTGTCTTGGAGTGGGCAGCCAAGCCATGATGTGGAAAACCCTAGCCACTGCGAAGCCAACAAGGTTCCTACACGTATCCCTCTGGGTACACCGGAGTCTTTGGTTCATCACGGTCGCATTAGTTCTCATCATTGCCACTATTTACCTCCTCAAAATCATCCTCTACTTCGAAGCCGTACGCCGAGAATACTACCATCCCATCAGAATCAACTTCTTCTTCGCGCCTTTCATTTCATTACTCTTCTTAGCCCTAGCGGTCCCACCTTTCATAGTTAAAGACTTGCCACAGTTCGTTTGGTACGTTCTCATGTTTCCTTTCATCTGTCTCGAGCTCAAGATTTACGGACAATGGATGTCGGGTGGTCAACGCAGGCTCTCCCGAGTGGCCAACCCGACCAACCATCTCGCAATCGTTGGGAACTTTGTAGGGGCGTTGCTTGGTGCAAGAATGGGCCTTAGGGAAGGACCAATATTTTTCTTCACAGTTGGGATGGCTCATTACTTGGTCCTGTTTGTGACATTGTACCAAAGACTACCGACCAATGAGACTTTGCCTAAAGATCTTCACCCTGTGTTCTTCCTTTTTGTTGCCGCTCCAAGTGTTGCTTCCATGGCTTGGGCTACGATCACTGGCTCCTTCGCTTATGGCTCCAAAGTCTGTTACTTCACTGCCATGTTCCTCTATATCTCCTTGGTACGTTTCCCATCTATTCTTGACTTATACATGCTGGCAGGTCTTGTAATGTTAAGAGTTTTAAAACAGTTTAGTTAAAAAAAAAATTAAAAAATTTAAAGACCTTTTTCACATGAAAATTCATTCAATCGGTTAAATCAGGTTCGGTACAAAGCCAAACACTAGGTTATCACATGGGCGGAGGCAGCTAACAAGGTGGAGGGTGGGGAGGTTAGCTGACCCCACTATTTAAAAGAAAAAATTGTTTGTTTAAGTAAAATTTGTGTTGTTCCCACTTAAAAGATAAATTTGACCCCACAAAAATAATTATTAAATATTAAAGATAAAATTTAATTATACAACTAAAATATTTATACTTTTTATCTTTAAAACTTTAGATATATATTAGTTTTAACCTCATTTTTTATAGTTACAAAAAAAATTTAATTTTGATACAAAAAATAGTTATGATTTTGATACAAAAAAACAAATTTCTTGATCTCGGTATAAAAAATTTCTGGCTCCGCCACCGGTTATCACAATGATGAAATCGAAAGAAACCAGCTAATGTTTTACTGAGCTATGCACAAAAATAATTTAAAGACCTATGTTCATTAACTTGAAATTTTCTGGAGTTTCTAACTAATATTTTACTTAGCTATGCTCAAAACCGGCTCTGCATATAATTTTTTTTGGGGAAAAATATCTACTAACACAAATCTTCACTTTCTTTGTTCACAAATTCATTAGGCTGTTCGGATTAATTTCTTTCGTGGAATCAAGTAAGTTTTAGAAACTTTCATTTATATATGCTCAACCCGACGTATATTAATTCAGATCTTTTCTTTGTTTTTAAATAGATTTTCATTGTCTTGGTGGGCATATACATTTCCAATGACCGGGGCTGCAATTGCAACCATCAGCTATGCAGCAGTAGTGAGGAACGCTATGACTAAATTCCTGTGTGTGATCCTTTGTGCCATTGCGACACTAGTCGTTTTCGCACTGCTCGTGACCACCATCATCCATGTCTTTGTCCTTGGCGATCTTTTTCCTAATGACAACGCCATAGCCATCAGCAACCGCCCAAGATCCAAACAGACTAACCACCGGTGGCTCGAGCAGTTTAGAGACCTTAGCTCAGAGACCATCGAAAACTACTTGAAATTCGCAGACTCTGACAGTAATATTGATCTAGAAGCTGCCATTGACAAAATTCAAGAGAATAATTCGGCACAATAAGTGAGGAATCTAGTATAGTCGAGTCAGAGTATCCGAGTTTTGGTTTTGACTTGTTGTCGCTGTGGCTGACACAAGTGAGGTATCTAGTAACATAAATGTTAGTTGCTATAGTTCTAATGTGCATGTGTAAACTTGTAGTAACAAAAGGTAGGGATGTCTACAAGGGTCAACCGATTTCTCCTAAGCTGGATTTGTTAGCGGTTAACCCAATACAGTATGTAAAACTTGTTTAGTTCCAATAAATCAAATGTTTTGAATTTTGAGAGGCTATAATCATATGATCGGAAAAATCTATAAATGCTATGGAGGCCAAAGCATATTATAATGTAATTCTGCAAGATAAACTATTCTCTATCAATACGAAGCACTGCTTGTGCCGTCTTTTTATTCATAAATCAAGTGTTCTCACACGATACAGTACACACGTTTCAGTTGTTTTATGCATTTATTTCATACATAAAACAATAACATTCCATTGGCTGACCTTGACGTGTTATAAAAAGATGGAAATTGTCAACCATATATTATCAATAGATTATACATTTTTATTATATTATAATATTAAGTAATAAATCTAGTGGTATTGTAGATTGTACTACTGTACGTCTCTTTCAATATAAGTCAACTGTACTTCAGTTCGTTATTCATAAGATCAGAATGTACTTCCAATGTCTAATCTGGAATGTCAACTCTACCTGATCAACAAGATTCTCTTTATTCCAAATATTTCTAACCAAAAACGTCGGGTTTATCATTTTGTTTGTTTTATTCGTATGCTCAATGAATTCTACAAATGTGTATCTGTCCAAAGAAGATGCAACATCTTTAGAAAAAACAAATGTAATATAGCATCTCGCGAAATGGATTTCAATACCGAATGCATTATTTCATAGAGTAATCATCTTCGTGATTGCCAATGTTTGAAAACCGGTATAGCCGACGCCTAGGCACCCGCTCATGACCACCCATGAGACACATAGATTATAAGCAAAACGATTTCTTAAAATTGAATTTATGCAACTCATTTCGATTTAAATCATTGCAAATCAATTCAAATCGGTTTTTAAATGGTTCAAGTCGATATAAATTAGTCTAAATTGGTCTAAGCTGGTTAAATGACATAACATAAAAGTGGATTATAACTAATTTAGTTATATCGTCTTCACCATTAATTTATCTATAAACAAACGTTGATGTTTTTCTCTCCATCTATGCGAAATCTTAATGTAAGTTCACAAGTTAGTTTGCTTTATTTTTAATACATCTAACTCTTTTTTTTCTTCAAAGTAATTTTGTAATAACTGAAATTAACATTTTTTTGCAAACATGTAATATAAATATAATATATGTAATTAATATATATATATATATATATATAATTCGTTAACACCTAGACTCTGCATAAGTTCCAAATATTTCATTTAGGTGCTAATCCTATACAAGTGTTTAACTAGTGTTTAGTGATTCTTTAAACATTGATGATTGCTAAAAACAAAATTATTAGTACTTCATAATCTTTTTTAATGCAGAGATAAATTATTAGCTTAGAACAAGTAAAGGTGTAGTACACCAAGAAGTACCAAATTTTTTCACGCATGAATCATGCCTTGTTGTCCCCTTGCCTTGTAAAATGTTCTAAAATACCAGCTCTCTAAAACCCTAATCTCATTTTTCAGTAAGTTAATGACGTTTAGTGACTATAGTAATATAATTCTGGTTTGATTGGAACCATTATGCACCTCCCTTTGACTATAGCAAAAAGTATCTCTTGTTTCTTTAATATAATAAGTACACAATCATAATAGCTTTCTTTTCAACGAGATTTCGCCCCTACATCAAAGTAAGTGAGCCTTCTTGTTTTAGCCATTATAGCTTAGAAATGTGTTGTGACTCATAAAAGGATTAGAAATGTGTTTGTTCAAAGAATAACCAATTTTTTTTCAATGGAATCGCAAGTTTCTATTCGTAAATGTGTTACATCTTTAGATCAATGGGAAATCTATGAAACTGAATATAACACTTACTCACATGTACTAAAACATGTTCAATTATATATTACTAGTACCATGTAATGTGGTCATTTGTGCTATTGTTGCAAATGTTTCCCCATCCGCGACTAAATTTGTATAGTGCATATTGTTGATATATAAAAACATTCATATACACTTGTATACATATGAGTTTGTATCTTATATTAAAATTGAATAGCCCCAACAATAAATCCAGACTGTTGATCAAAGGACCGATTTCAATGTCATAAACCAATCTTGGCAAAACTTGAATCCATATATGTTCTAATATAATTTCAGGTCATAAATTTATGATATATGGCTTATGTATTTGTACATACATATATATATATATATATATATATATATATATATTAAAGTATACATTATGTATATTATATATATATATATATATTAAAGTATACATTATGTATATTCTCTGCCAGCAAAGAGATAAGATAATTAAAAGCAGGGGAATTATTCTCACATCTTACTTCTTAAACAAATAGCATCTATGCAATAATACAAATTGCACAATTACGATAACACCCTTATACTTCTCTATAAGTAACAAATCCAAAAGCTTATAACCCGAAAAAATCCACACATCAAACGCAGGCTTACACCAAACATTGTGGATACAATAAAGTGAAAATGGGAGATATGAGAAACTTGCTGAAGATGTTAATGATGGTTGTATTTGTTGGATGGATGTTCGTTTGGGTTATGATTTCAACTAACCTTTTCAAAAACAAGTGGACTCCCAAAATGACCAAGTATTTCAATACTACTTATTTTGGTCCACAAGGTATTTAATTTCTCAACTTATGATCCCATTTATTTTGATATATAGATTCCTTTATTTCTGAGTGTTTGTTATTTATCATGAATGTGTAGGCATAAATCTAGTGCTTCTTACCGTTCCAATGATGTTCATTGCGGTTCTGAGTTGTCTTTATTTGCATATCCAGAAGAAACCCACCCAAACTCAAAGGTTTGGCTTGTTATACTATCATAGTTTTATTATGGACTATATAAATTTTTGTAACAAATTATGAAATTTCTTACCATATAAATACAGCAAATCTAAGATAAAAGGGAGAATGGGGAGGGTGATGATGGTGATGAACCCATTGGGGATAGTGACAGCCACAGAGTTTACTTTCTCTATATTGTTTGTTGCTCTTTTGTTTTGGGCTCTGGCCAATTATCTCTACATTAGCTATTTCGTCAGTCTTCATAACCACGACAATGCAGAACTGTAAGTTTTGTTGTTCCTAACTTTAACTCTCTAATTTCCTTTCCTTATATTTTAGGTTTTATTTGAATACCTTCAAATATTCAAACAAAAACCGATTTATGATGGTCTAGTTCGTGTTCATAAGAGTGTTATTTTTTTTTTTAAATACCAAACTCATAGAGGAGTTGATTACAAGTTAAAAAATACCATGGTGCAGATGGATGGCAAAGTTTAGGGCTTTTGGGCTGCGAATAGGATACGTCGGCCACTACTGTTGGGCCTTTTTGTTCTTCCCCGTGACAAGAGCCTCTACGATTCTGCCATTAGTTGGGTTGACTTCTGAGTCAAGCATCAAATATCACATTTGGCTCGGACATATCTCAAACTTTACTTTCCTCGTTCACACCGTCGTGTTCCTTATCTACTGGGCCATGACCAATCAGTTGATGGATGTACGTTATATCTAACTTAATCTTATATCATTATATTATCACAAAATCAAGAACTTGAAGCTCAATCACCTAGCTCGGCTTTAGGGCAAAGGGAAAAAGATGTTACCGAGGAGCCTACTCAACCCCGAAATAGTTATCTATCATTCTTTAATTTTATTTTAGAACTTATTTTTTTTCCTTGTATATATGAAGACGTTTGCATGGAATCCGACATATGTGCCTAATCTAGCTGGTACAATAGCCATGGTGATTGGAATAGTGATGTGGGTGACAAGTTTTCCATACTATAGACGAAAGAAGTTTGAGATTTTCTTCTACACTCACCAAATGTACGGTCTCTACATAATCTTCTACATGATCCATGTTGGAGACTCTTGGTTATGCATGATCTTGCCCAACATGTTTCTCTTCTTCATCGACCGCTACTTGAGGTTCTTACAATCCACCAAGAGATCTAGACTTGTCTCTGCTCGGATCTTACCTTCAGATAACCTTGAGCTCACTTTCTCCAAAACCCCAGGTTTATAAGTAGTTCCTCCATTTACGTTTACATTCAAATGAAACCGAAATAGTTTAGGGTTTTCTCTTTTCTTTAATGATATGTTTTCAAATTATAAATCAAAATCACAATTTTCAGATATTTTTTTAAATTGAAAGTTATAGTGTTGAGTTTATTTAATATAATGTAATATTAAGATGTTAACACTAAAGTAACCACAACTTTTGTTGTTGAAACATTAAATCAAAACTATAATCATGTTTGATCAAAATATAAGAACAATAAATTGGGCTATAGTGACATGTTTAAAGGACAGATACTTCACATTTTTAATCAAATTATATATTGTAAATGGCCTTTTTTTAAAAAAAAATATATATATTGTAACCATTGTTTTCATCTAACTGTAGGCCTACAATATACACCAACGAGCATATTGTTTCTACATGTGCCGAGCCTTTCCAAGCTTCAGTGGCATCCATTCACAATAACTTCAAACAGCAACTTGGAGAAAGATACACTAAGTGTTGTCATCAGAAGACAGGGAACTTGGACTCAAAAGCTTTACACCCATCTCTCTTCTTCCATTGATTCTCTAGAGGTTTCCACTGAAGGTCCTTATGGTCCTAACTCCTTAGATTTGAGGTACAAGAACCTAACATACATTCTCTTAACTATTTAATTATAAGGGCATGATTAACGCAGTTTTTAAAATGTTTCTTAACTCTCTTGGACCCACCAATAAGTTAAAACTCGGTAATAAAAATTATCAGATAGTGATCAGTGTTGGTGGGTTTTTA